GCGCGCCGTGCAGCCCCCCGTGGGCTGCGAGGCGTTGGGCGACTGTCCGTGCAGGACGTCGGGGATGGCCTGCGGCGCCAGGGAGGTGTTGCGGATGTCGATGTGGTGGATGGAGGTCATGGACTGCAGGCCGCAGGACAGGTTGCCTTCCAGGCCTGCGACAGCGTGGCCGCGAAGACGCGTGAGACGCCTCGATAAATCGATCAATCGATCGAGCGATGCCGCCACGCGCAGGCACTGTGCAACACGGACCGCTTTCAGCCAGCGCGTGCGGTGCAGACACTACACAAAAATCGCCATGTTTGCGACGCCAAATGCGATGCCTTTCGACACAAGGTGGCGCCATCGCAGTGACTGCGATGGCATCATTGTGGGCGCGACGGCATCAATTGGTGGCAAATGGCATCGCAGCTGGCGTCGCAGAATTTTCCTTTTTTACTGGTGAGAGGTTGCTGCAGAGTTTCTCAGTCGCATCTATTGCAGTGCTTTTCTGAACGTCTGGCAGCGGGTGCAATGGCTCCCGAGTGGGAAAATGGAGCGAGCGCTCTTGTAGACTTTCATGACCAGATGAGCGCGGACATGTACGGATTTGGATGATCCGCCTCATGGTGTTCATCTTGATGCCGCTGTCTTTGAAAAGTTCTGTAGTTTGTATAGGGATGCATCCGTACAACCGGGTCGTTTCGGAACTTAGATGGGGTCTGTTGGACATTAAAATCCAGAAGATGCATCGTGAGAACTTCGTAGTGCAATGCATGGCCCACATAGGTGCTTCTGAATCATTTCACCATCCTAGAAGTGTTGATCACTCATCCAAATATTTCTGTTGATTGCAATCATAGCTCGATGTATTCATCGGCATGTTATTCTACCAAAAGCATCAGAAGTTGTGCAACAAATCAAACAGTCAAATGCCGGACGCCGCCAGGCAGGCGAAAAGTCGGCACCGCACCAGTGCATCCAAATAATTCATGCAGCAAATTCAATACATTTGATTGCAGCAATAATTCATTCAGTGTTACACCCCCAGCAATTCAATAAACACAATTTCGCATATTTTGCGCACACGCTAATTGTACAGATGATGAATATCCATAAGCATAGGCAATCGAAACCCGCTTCCAGGCTTGGCTTTTACGCTTACGTTTACGTCTCTACCTTAGGTATCTACACGTAGAAAAGCAGATATGCGAAAGAAGCCGTTTTCACGGCTATTTTTACGTTTTTGCGGCTCGTTGGGACACCCAGGTTACGAGATGAAAATCACATACACCGACCATTTTTCCTCCATCTCCAGCATACGCAACACAATGTCCATCTCGCTGTCGGCAAGGGTAACGCGTTACCGCCGTACGACGGTATGGAACAAAAATTCGTTTTCTAATCATTCCAGTGCGTCTGGCTGCCGCTCCCCGAACTCCCCAAAACTCAATGTACTGTCCTTATGTACAGGGGGCTGTATTTACGTTGTGCTTACGTAGTTTTACGCGTCAAAACTTAAATGCGATGAGTTTCTGCGGTTTAATAACCAAGCCCGACCACCTTAGCTGCACCCCCAAACCCACGCCCACTCACCCACTCCCCCCATACACCCCTTCTTTCCCCCTTCCCCGCACGCACGCCGACGGGCCGCCTCGCGTCACACCTGGGTTGTCGCGCAGAACGACTTTCGTCAGCCTGCGCAGCTGCAGCAGCGGCCCCTCCGCCAAGGTCCCCGCCAGCCCAAAGCCCGCCAGGTCCAGCTCCCGCACCTCCAGCGCGCCGCTGGGGAACTCGCACAGCAGCGGCTAACGACTTCCCATAACCCCTGGGTTCAGGCGGCTCGCGAGGGGCGGCGAGATATGTTTAGCGGATCTCCTGGCACCCTGGATGGCTGAGACCAGGACCTGTCGAAAGTTCCCTTGGCTGGCCAACAGCTAAACGCAGGGGCAGTAGCTGGAGGGAGAGCTAGGCAGCAGGAGGAATCCAGGAGGAGGAGGTGGAGGAGGGTGGGGGGGAGGGGCATAGCTGGGCGAGGGGCCTCATGCTAGGGGCGGCCGCAGCCGGGCGGAACATGGCGGTTCGGGGGGCTGGGAAGGGCGCCGGGGATGGGTTTGGTCATGGGAGCGTAGGCCGCCTGGGAGATTAATTCGGGTCGCGTGGAGGGGGGGGAATGTGGGGGAGGGGTGGGGGGAGCGGATTGGGGTCATCCGGCGAGGGAGGGGGGGGGGAAGGGGCTCCGGGAATCTGCATTACCGTCAGGGGGTAGTACCGCCACAAGGCAGGCTTGATCGTCACCGACACCAGCACGTAGTATTACCAATAATCGCGTGTGCGCAGTGGAGACTGCATTGAGCTAGAAGTGCGGTAGCGCGGGAAATGGTTTAATTGCACAATGCGCGCAGCGGTTTCTCTGAGATCCGCTCAGAATGGCGGGGATACTGCAGGGTGACTCAAAACACACGCAAATGCCAATTGTTTAATATTGAACGTCTATTATTGAACGCGTGTCTGGAAATGGACAGATGTTGATGCAGTATTGTAGCTGCATTTCCTTTGATGAACTGCCGAGCAATGCTTCAACAAATGTCCTTGTGTCAAGACTGACAAGCGTTGATGATTGTGCGAATATTTCAACAATGCTGGTGCACTGATGTTGCTGCACCATTGTTTGTTGCATCAACAGTATTCTGCACACAATATCACATCAACTTCTGCCGTTTTCCATATGGTGTACTTTTTGCTTTCCTGTTCAAGCTCCCTGGTAAAAATGCCGTCGAATTGGTGGCTCTCATCACGATGGCGACGCACCTGCTCATACCTGTTGAGATGTCAAGACCACACTCAATGAGATGTTCTTGTTGCAGTGAGGCGCTGCATGCTCAGTGGTGAAGCTTGCCGCAGAAAAACAGCCAAAACAGGTTGCTAAGGAAGACATTCATCAAATTCGTGTACATCTGGATATCTGAACGATTTGTCTGCAGCGTTTATAAACATAATTATGGCCTGTCGCATCATTGCGGTGAATCAAGCAGGCTATTGAAGCGAGCAGGTTATGCCCCGGTTGCATCAATAACCATGATGCACTGACAGGAAACGTTGCATCGATGTGTGTGCATCCGTGTCCGTAATATTTGGTGGTGGAGACAGTCGGAAGCTCCAAAAAAGCTAGGATTGCACGATCAGGTCCCATTGTTTCAACACAGCTTTAACTTCAAGTACGGGACTTCGTTCCATTTAGCACATTATGGGCGCGTTGATAACTGTGTGAAATGGCCAGTAATTGCCAGTGAGTGTGCCACAATTTCCCATGCATCACCGGTGATGCAGGGGCAATGGTGGCACATTCACTGGCAATCATTGGCAATTTCACCAATTGAACAATTATTGAACAAATGGTACCCTTTGGAGTTCTAGAGGAAGAAAGATAGATTTACATCGGGACGCCAGCGGCACGAAATATGTGCTCAATAGTTCAGCGACTCAATAAACGGGTGTCAATCAATCCCCTGTAGACCACATCAGCCGTTGGTGGAAGAAAATGAAATTCTGCGTTGAATGGCTGCCGCCAGCGCCGACATGAGTCGGTGAGAAATAGGGCACGCAGCTGACAGGATGGGCAAGATCAATTGTGAGGTACAAGTTCCAGTGCAAGCCACCCAGCGCGATTTGGAGGGCGACTGCATGCGGTACTGCTGCCCTTGTACATGATCACCTTGTGCAATGTAGTACATGGGCATGAAGGCAGGGGGTGACACTATCCCTGCACGTGTTCGCGACAAACCTGGAGACGGCAAGAGGGAGCATGGCCATGGCGATGAATGCCAAAATTTTGTTGTTGATAATTGCAAGCATGCAGAAACATCCCGTTCTGTTTGATAATCCCAATATGCGGAAACTGTGGCGGAGCTCCGCTGTTCGTTCTCAGGGCAGAGCACAAGACGAACGGTCGGTGGGCTCATTCTGAGAATATAGTGCAGTGCCACCCGCATATTGCCCGCATCGCCCTACAGGGCACAGGATTCAGGTGATTGGGTACAGGGCTGTCTATAACATAGTAGAGATGGTGGAGAGCCCGCGGGCTGTATTCAAGTAATCGGTAACATTGCTCCTGGGGGTTCAGCACCGCAAACGGCCGTTTGCGGTGCTGACCCCTCAGGAGCAACGTCACAGGCTACTTGCAAGTAATCGCCTTCAATTGAAGGCGCAACGGCGTAAACACATCCAGCTTAATACTGGTGTGATCGTAAGTGTCCCGTGGACGGTGCGAGTCCATACGCACCAACAGGGCAACGACAGTATCTGCAACCGCCGCAAAGTGCTCCCAGAATGTGCAAGAATATTTGCGAAAGCTCGCATCCGGAGACATGCGCGTTGTCTCCTGCTTTCAGCCCATGGTTCCCGCAAGACCGCACTTTCGGAGCCAGTTTGTTGTCCAAGGAGCCGTCTTGGAGTCGAAGTCAAGCGGCCGACTATTTAATGCCTGTCGAAATTTTCGAGAATTTGTGTTTTAATCACAACCCTGGAAGCCTCAGGACAGAAAATTCCAGCAAACTCGACGAGACAGCTGCGCGAACATTCGCAACAGCGCCGCAGCGCTCCGCCTTGAGAGACATGACCTCCAGCCCACCAGTGCTGAAGTGTCCATTCCACAGTGGCGGCATCCGACTGTTGTGGCACGCTTTCTGTGAAGGCTGCAACCAAATCCGTTTGTTCAGCGGTTGGTACACCCTCAACACATAAACTGCCGCTCCATCCGATTAGCTTGCAACTTTCAGCGAAAAGAGCGCGAAGCGTCCGTGCCCTGCCGCCATGGCCGTCTGCAGGCCAGCGCGCCCCTGCCTCGGCATGGGCGAAAAAAGGCAGACAGGATGCGAACATCCGGGAGAAAAAAAGGCGGATCGGCGAGGCCCCCGCAGGCCTGCGCCAATCTGTGCTTTGCCTCACTTCGGTCTTGCACCGGCAGCCAGCCACCGAGGCGGGCACCTCAGCCGCTCGGCACCGCCTGACTCGCTCCCGAGATGGACGCCGCGGAGATCGGTGTTGCAGCGGGGCTCATGTCGCTGCCCGGCGCCGCAAACAGGAGAGTCTGCGTCGCCGCACCTGCAGGTGCGGGATCCCCCATGGCAGGCCCCCTCCCCGCCCCGTTGCCGCGACCGAGCAAGGCCGCTCCTGGAACGGCGAATCGGTCCCTGTGCGCAATCTGCCGGTCGCGGGCGATGCATTCATTGCTTCCAGTACGGTTTGGTTGCCCGTGTGGAAGAATTTGGCGCCTGGGGTGCCCAAGGGGGTTAGAGGCATTGCCTGTGCCATTGCATTCGCAGGCGGCAGGCGGCGCGCAGCAAAGACTGGGCCCTCCTGCGGACGGCCCTGCGGGGGGAGCCTCACGCGGCCATCGCTGGCACGGGCACCAACGGGTGTCGAGCAGTCCGCACGAGCCGAAGTCGTGGCGAGGTGGGTGCAGGATCGGCGGGCTGGGATTGGGGGGTGGTGTAGGGGGTGGGGGGTAGGGATGAGTGGCAGGCGGCTGCAGGCAGGGCATGGACTCGGAATTGTAGGACACGTCAGCCGGCTTTCTGCGTGCTGGCGATGTGACAACGAGCACGAGGACAGGACTGGGTGTTTGTTGGTTGGCAAACCGAGGGGATTGGGACCTCCGACCCTGAAACCTGTGGGACTAGCAACGCGTTTTGCCGGCCATGGCGCTCAAATTTTAGTTGTGAAGCGGCCTGTTGGCCCATGTTGCAGACAGATATCTGAATGGCAGAATGGCAGAATTGCCAAGTTGGTTGAGTTGACCATGGCATTGTGTCTTGCCTATTTGCTGCCCATTGCTCTGCAAGTCATCTCATGCAGCTGTGCGCACAGGGTCATCCTCCTCCTGAATGCCACGTGTGCGCCCTGCCTTGCAACCTGGCAATTGTCTGGGGCCATTGACAGATCCCCTCAGGGCTTGTAATTTGCGCAGGGGAAGTCGGGGGGACGGCAGTTTCACAGCAGGGTTTCTGGTCGGCGGGATCGTCTGTGGTGTATTGGGCTTTCTGTACGCCCCGCAGGTGAGACTCAAGCCATTTTGGTTGCCATGTTGGTCAGTATTGTGTCACAGCGGTCTACCGTACCACTGTGACAAGGCCACAGGCTCTGATGATGCATAGATGTTGACAAGCGCTGGTGTGCAGCACTGTGGATCCCGTTGCAGCGTCAGGCATCAATGGAATAATGCTTGAAGCTGGGTGTCAGTGTGGACCAATGCCATCCCCTTGTGGACATTTTTGCATATTCTTACTTCGTGATGTTCGCCATCTGTGAAAGTGGGTCACTGCGGTTTGCAGTTGCCCCTCCCTGCCATCTCGCTGCCTTGACAAACTCCTCTCTACAGGGCCCGTTTGATATGCAATGTGCATACTGCCACGCTCATGGTGTTCCCATGAAACTAGATGCCTGCATCGCGGAATGGTGCGTGGGGACTGTTTTGTCCATTCTGGTTATTTGCGTGTACAAAAAGGTAGTCCCTCAATGAGTTAGGCTGGACATGAGCTTCAGACCAGCGGCCCCAATGAACCATATGTGTCTGCAAGTATGGCACCTGGATGGCCACCTTGCTGTTCCACCCGTTGGACTGTCTTTAAACTGTTTGAATTGTGTTGTGCTGATGTATTGTTTACAAATGTTAATTGACATCCATGTGGCGCAGATCTCACGAACTTTGTTGGACGAGCAGCAGCGCCTGAAGTTGCCAAAATTTTTGGAGGACAAGCCTCCAGTGCCGGTAGGGTAATGTACAATCTTTGGGGCTTCACCAGTGCCCCAGCTCGGCCCTCAGCTGTCCAACCCTTGATCTGCTTGATACTTTGCTGCTTGTGAAAAGTGAATGGAAACATTTCCGAACACAAAAATAGCCTAACAAGTGAGAAGCCAGTGATCAGCTGTGTGATATGTTGCTCCTGTTTCAGCCCCTGCTCTTTTTCACTTTGTGTGGTTCCTGTGTTCCTGTGCCTCAGTTGGAGCCTGGTCTGGAGTTGTGGGGCTCTAATGGGAACACATATACTTTTTGTGTTATTGGATTTGTGTGTATATCAGGCGTTGGATACTCACTTGAACTTCTCAGCCTGTAGGCCCATAGAGCGCCTTGGTGCTCTGGCCCAGGGAAGGGGATGCTTGCTGTGTGCCAATGTTGCCCGAGGGAATTTTGCTTCCTGTTGCATGGACTGTCCAGTAATCAAACAATCTCAATTGAAGGCCAACTTGCCTGTGAGAGGTGTGCCCCTGTACGCTGTGCTTCCCTTCTAAATTCAACCTTCAGGATAAGTGAATAGCAAAGAAAGAGCGAATTTCCACGTTCTCTCATGGCGTGTAGCTTAGGCGTTCTCTTTGGCCCAGCTTTGTCCTTGTCGCCCATTGATGGCTTGTGCTATTGGAAGATCCCCACTCAGCGAGGGCTTGTGCCATCACTGCTGTGGTCTTCTCGCTTTGCTGCAACGGATACAATCGGTTGCATCCATCCCAAGTATTGCTTTGATTGAAACAGTGGCCCTGTACTCACAGGTGACCAAGGACGAGCTGGTTCTTCGCGTTGACGAGCTCAATGCTGCCGTCGACCAGCTGGCAAAGGACCTGGGTGGGAGGGGCGCAGGGGCAGAGAACAGCAAGGACCCCAAGGCCACCGAGGTGACAGCTTGATGGAGCCAATGTGGGACCATCCTTCTCCATTTCAGTATGGGGACCCTGCATTGCCAACTGGCCACCGATCATGGGTCAGCCAGTATCTGTGATATTGTCAAGGATCTTGTTGGCCTCTGGAATAGGTGCGCTGTTGGCGGGGTTGGCCAACAGGCATGGGGCCACAGTGAACATTGCTGTGTTGGTCCTGATTGTCGTCGTGCAAATCCATCCTGTGGCAGCCCTGCTCGTGTTTGATGCTGCAAGTGTGTTGTAGAGACGGGCTTGTCCTGTTGGGCGGAATGTGCCAGCTGGCCTTGTGCTTATTCCTTCTCTAGCATGAGCATGTTTTCCAATAAACTGGGAACTTTTGCATCATGGGTAGACCTTCTGAGTTCTGTGCTTGGGGAGAGACAATTTCCATATCCATGAATCGACCTGTCTGTATGGACATCGAGTGCCAGGGTTGAAATTAGATGTGCACGCACACATTCTGTGGCACTGGATCCAGGGTCCATTGTACAACACTGCAAAGCACTGCTGCCGATGACCCTTGCATTGATTTAAGTTTCTGTGTGCAAATGCACGATGTATGAGTCGTCAATTTTACAGATGGTGAACGACAGCATGTTTAGGGCCAGTGCATCGAAACAGCTGACAGGGGACTCAAGGCCACCGTGCTCTTAATAACGAACCATTGTGTGGGTCAGTGCTGGGGTGCAGAACATTCCAAATAGCACGAGAAAGTGCTTGCCCAGCTTGAACACTGTTCCATCTGTATAGGGCAGTACAGGGCAGTTGACTCTTGGAATTCAAGCAATCACAAGGCGACAACCGTTTGCACGCCTGGCTTAACTCTTTGAGTGCACTGTGAACACAAATTTCGATGCCTATGGAACTCCCAACGAAAGCTCAATTTCTTATTCCATAATTATTTAGATATAAATAAGATATAAAATTATTCTATAATTAAGCTGTTGAACTCGCCAATCCCGCCAAGGTGCCCACAACGCGCTTAGACAGCAACTGACGACCACTTGGCGCCAGGCAGCGTCCGGGCTGAACGGAATTCAGTGATGCAGCGCGCCGTGAGCTCAGTCGACCTTCGCTCCTGCTAATTCTCAGAAGAGCCGCGTGGGGATCTGTAACACGCTGCTCACTTCGAGCGCTCCCCGACTCGAGTGAAGACCAGCAGGCGGCCGCCTTATCTGGAGCCCGCATGCACCAAAGGCCCTTGTGCTGGGAAGTGCATCGAGTCGTGTCCCCTAGCCCGCCGCAGTTTGGACTCTGCAGAGTCCGCCCTGCTGACATGCTGTGTGCGTCCGCTCGTCTGACATCGCTTGTCACGTGCAATGGCTGTGTCTTGCCACTTTTCGAAGGCGCAACCAAAGGACCCGTGCAACTTCCGATGATCGCGACGAATCGCCGGAAGCAAATCCAGGCAGCGACCCCAACTCGAACAACGGGAAACATGCACCGTACTGCTCGAGCTAGAGCCGCAGAGAGCAACAGCGGCTTCCATGGCCCCAACGGTTATAACATATGTGTCCATGCATGTTATATAACACAACGCGGTCGCGCACCCTTGGCCCTGCTTCCTGCGCCTGTGAAGGACGCGAGTCCCCACTGCCGCAGCACAGGCTCCAGGCACGGCGTGCGCGCACCACACCACGACAAATTAGCGCATGACTAATTTCATTCAACGCGTGATTTTCTAAAGTACCACAGGCACAATCCTCGTCCCATCGCTTGGCAGCAGGCGATGCCCGCCACCAGTACACAAGAAAAACCGTCCAAACCACGTTTGAAAATTCGAACGTCCCATCAGGCGGTTTTTTGAATTCGAATCTCCTGGTTTCGCCGCTCGTGTCTGGGCGCCCAGCGGAGGCCCCCGATTTCGAATTTCGAAACGCTGCGCCCCGACGGCGATGCTGCCGCACGGGACCGCTGGCCTTCGCCCAGGCGCCGCGGCGCCCGTCCGCCAAGCGGCACGGCCGCGCTCCAACCTCGACCGACCACGGAAACATCGTCGGCGCCGCCCGCACGCTCATCGTCGCGCGCCGATCTCCGACTCCCGTCGCCACGGCCACGGTTCGCCTCCCCGCTCCCCGCACCACCGACCCGCCCGGCGCCGATTCGCCCGACCGCCCGTCCGTCGATGCGACCCGCTCCCAGCTGGCAAAGGCCCGCGGCCTCGGATCCGGGGCACCGGCGCCAATGCAGCCCAGGCGGGGCGCTGGGGCGCCTCCCCCCGAATGCTGCCCTACCCAGCCGCGAAAGCCGCGCAGGACGTCCACAGCTTCGACGACAAATTCACGCGATCGATTGCCGGTCGATTCGAACGCCCGCTGCTCGCTCCGGCCCACTATCGGCGCCCCTGGTACTTACCTTGCGACGTGTGCCTTGACGTGCATTCTTCTGGCCGTTTGACGACCGTGTTGTTCTGGCCTACCGCGGTGGAGCAACCGGGGGAGTTGAACAGCGGGCAAGTGGAGGCGGTGGGGGAGCGAAAACCTTCCCTGTGAACGACTCCGGACGAGCAGAAGCACTTGTCGAAAGAAGGGCATCCAAGCGTCAGAGCGTCTCCAGCAAGGCTGCCTGTCCAGGAACTCACCATTTTCGAGCTGGGGTAAACACTGCGGGCAAACCCTCCACAAAACAATTCGAGAGAGCATGGGCAAAAAGGAAACGCGTGCGCGGGAGGCATCGTCAACGGGTGCCTCAGAACCGGTGCCGTGCTACGCAGCGGCCACCCGCAGGGCGGTCGCACTGCGGGCCGCATGCGCACGGTACAAAGGTAATGGGTGTCGATAAAGTCACTTCCCAACCTCAAGGCAGGTGCCGCGACAGAGTCCCAGCAGTCGCCCGCGCCGCCCAAGCCGGCAGCGAAGGTTGGGCCGATCCAGCAGACGCGGGGCAAGGACGTGGCCCACCCCGACCAAACCAATTGCAAAGCCGGAGAATGCCCCTGGGCAGCAAAGCGCACCACCGCATCACCGTCGCCCGCCTCTTGCGCGTTTGAATACCCGCGTGCACTGCCGGGCCTTCTGGCGCGAGGCGCCCTTCCTCAACGTCGTTCAAGCCCCCCCACCCACCCAACTCCCACAAAACAATAACAGCTCTCCCCCCACCCCGCAGGGCACAAGCCCGCCCTGGGCCCATCACTGACAGGGACCAGCCCCGGAGCATACAGTGTTACATGTGCACAGGTACAGGGCGTGTTTCAGAGTACACCGTGACATACATTCGCCGAGTCAAGCGGGCCGAGGCCCCTCCAGCGCGCAGCGTGGCTTTGCGTCCCATCGTATCCGGCCCGCGCCGCCCTCCTCGGGCGCTCCCCCTTCCCGCAAACAAGGCCCGCGCTCGCGCCTTCACTTTTTGTCGCCGCTCGCACCCCCCCCCACCCCTCCGACCGCTGTGCCCCGCCGCTCGGCGCCACCTGAACTCCTGCCGCGCTTCCCCGGCCATCCCTTCGCCGCCCGGCCGCATCCCAGCGCGGCGCCAGTCCCTTCGATTCGCTCCTCCACATCCGCCCGCCTCCCGGCGCCCCCCGCGAAGCAGCGCCTGGTGTTGATCGAACACCGCGTGTGGGGAAAAATTAATCGGCTCGGCAGAGCGGGTCGGACACAAAGCGTCGCGCTGGCCCCGCCGGCCCTCCCTCCCCCGGCCTACTTCTTCTTGGCGGGGCCAGCCTTCTTGGCGGTCTTCTTCATGGGGGCCTTCTTCGGCGCGGCCTTCTTGGGCGCCGCCGCTTTCTTGACGGCCTTCTTCACCTTGGGCTTGGCCGGCCCCGCCTTGGACTTGGCCACGCCCGCTGCCGCCTTTTTCACCACGCCGGCCGCCTTGGGCTTCCTGGGCTTCTTGGCCACCGCGGGCTTTTTGGCCGCAGGCGGCTTCTTCTTGAGCGTGCGCGGCTTCTTGGCCTTGGCCGGCCCGCCCTTCATCGCCTCCCCCAGCTTCCAGGACCCCTTGACCTTCATCAGCTTGCCCTCGGCCGTCATCTTCTTCAGGTAGATCGACAGCTTCTTCTCCCAGCCGTCCGGCAGCTTGTGCGCCGCCGCCATGCACTTCTTGATCGCCGCCAGAGACGATCCGCCGCGCTCCTTCAGCGACGCGATCGCGTCCCTGATCATCTCCGCGTAGGGCGGGTGGGCGGGCGGGCCGGCCTTCTTCGACGCCATGGCTGCTCGGTGGCGCTCAGGGGTGATACCTTGCCAATGGGGGGATCGCGCGATCGGCGCTGGCGGCCTGCGGCGGGCGCTGACGGGTCTCCGGCGGGTCAGGGGCCCGGCGCCTGCGGCTGGGTTGCTCGGGTGGGAAGGGGGCGGGGCCCGCTCTTGGTTGCGCCGGGGAACAAACTGGCGAAATGCTGGCGTTAGGGCGTTATTTATACGCGGGAAAGGTTACAGGCTAACGGAGGGGCGCGAAGGGCCGGGGGGCCCGCCCCCACGACACAAGCCGCAGGGTGACGTGGCCCGAGCCTGCCGTATCTGCGTCCCGCGATACGGTCCCCCCCTTGGCCTGCCCTTGGCCTACGCCCCGCGTCAGGCCACACCGCCGCATCGCCCAACTCGTGGCGGCCCCCGGGCCTGCCAACGGCGGTCCGCCAACCCACCCCGCGCTGCACGGACGCTTTCACCGCATCCCACGCCGCAGCGGGGGCAGTAGTTTGGGCACACGGGATACCCAGCGGCGTGTTTCGCTCGGCTCATTTTGGGACCGACAGAGATTAGAAAACGACGCTGCGCAGGAGATATGGGGAAGCGAGAAAGCGACTGAGACAAAAAGTGACGCCAGAGTTTGGTGATGCCCGGATGGGCATCGCCAAGACGGTGTGTGGGTTGGCATCCGTGCGCCATTCGGGTCGTGATCGCACAGCTGTGGGCGGTGGCCTTGTTGAAAGACCCGCAAAGGCACCGGAAGATCCGTAGGAATGCCGCCTCTATATCATGGACGCGAACAACACGATAGTGTTTCTCCCCTCTAAGAAAATAAGGAAAACTAATAAAAAACGACCACGT